CTTTTTGTCTTATGAATTTCCATAATTGGTTAATGAATGAAATCTAAAATTTCACATGTATCAGTTGTTTACTAGACACTTGATTGTGCTTTTTGTATAGTTAGATCAAATAAAATCCATCATTTGATGCTTAATCAAACAAGAGTGTGAAGAATTTCTCACACAATAAGTCATTCCTGGTCTCTTACTTGATTATTTGAGTTATTATAGAATTTTGATAATCTTTCAGATTTAACCTTCTTCAATAATCTCTCCCAATCCTAGACAAGTAGGATGAGGGATTGTGATGCATATCTTTCTAAGAGAGTCCATTATTATTTTTGTTACCTATTGATAACAAATAAACTAAAGATGTTTAAATCTAGAGCTGTCAGTTTTGTTACAATTACCTTCTTTCAAAGACTTTTTATTTAATGTAAGGGCACATTTGTAGAAGTAACAAGTTTGACAATCATTTCCTTTCACTTATCTGAACTCCAACTAATTTGAAATAGTAGAGGTTTTAGTTCTACGAAGGCGTGGGTGAAACTTTTATGAAATTTTGACTTTTAATAGTTATAAAGTAATAAAATACAAAACGTTTATGAGAATATGAGAAGTATCATCAATTAATGATAATAAAATTATGAAAAATTAAGAAACAATTAGAGAAAAGCATATTTTTATGATATTTGGTATTGATAATAGAATGGAAAACATGCCAACATAGTTGTGGGTACCTAAAAATGTTTGTGTGATAAGAAACAATATTTCAGTGTATTTGGATAGTAGATTATTTGGGATAATTTTGTGAAAAACTACTGTAGCTCTTTTTTCATGTGATGTATATGAGACAAAAATGTTTTTGAAAAATGTGGTAATGATGCAAGCAAAAATGTATAGAGGGGTTTTCTAATTTGCTGAGAAAAGCTGAGGAGAGGAAGGACATAACAGGCTTGAGAATTAGCAGACAGGGACCTATCATCTCACACCTTTTCTTTGCAGACGACTCTCTTATTTTCTGTAAAGCTAACATGAAGCAGGCATCAGAAATCATGAAGATACTCAAGATATATGCAGAGGCCTCAGGACAGTTGATCAACCTTGAGAAGTCGTCTGTCTTTTTTAGCAAGAATATGTCTATGGAGCAAAGAAAAGATGTCTGTAGCTCAATGGGAGGGATGGCAGAAATAAGCCAAGGAAAGTACCTAGGTCTGCCTATGGTCATCTCTAGGTCAAAGGACCAGATTTTTGGATTCATTAAGGAAAACATTAAGAGAAAGCTGCAGGATTGGAGGAACAAGTTGCTGAGCTCAGCAGGCAAGGAAGTGATGCTTAAGGCAGTCTCAATGGCTATGCCAACCTACGCCATGTCTGTTTTCAAACTACCAAGGAAGTTATGCAAGGATATTAGCTCACTGATGGCCAATTATTGGTGGGGGGATTCTAATGGCAAAAACAAATTGCACTGGCTTTCTTGGAAGAAACTGTCAATGAAGAGGAATGCAGGAGGCCTAGGATTTAGAGACATTGAAGCCTTCAATAAGGCATTGCTAGGTAAGCAGATTTGGAGGATACTCACTAAACCAAACCTTCTGTTAAGCAAAGTGATGAGAGCACGATACTTCCCCAAGGGATCAATCTTAACTTGCAAGATCCACAAAAATTCTTCCTGGATATGGCAAGGATTATTAGGAGCTAGGAGCTTGATGGACAAAGGGGTGATCAGACGGATAGGCAATGGGAGGAGTACAAGAATATGGGACCACAGGTGGATTCCTGGATCTAGCTCAGGTAAACCAACCTCATCCAATCCACTGAGCAGGGAGCTGAAGATGGTTCATGAGTTAATCAGCCATCACAAATGGAATAGAGTCACCATTCTTCAGAACTTTCATCAAAGTGATGCTGAGAAAATCCTAAACATACCCATAAGCCTAACGGACAGGGAGGACAGCTATTATTGGCAACACAATGCAGGGGGATCATACACGGTCAGTTCAGGATATAAATTTCAAGTGGAGGAGAGTGCTAAGGCAGAGATGGAAAAAGCAGAAGGAGCAGGGCCAAGTATTAAAGATGGCAGTCAACAAGTTAGACAAATGTGGAACACCCTTTGGAAGCTCAACATCAAACATAAGATTAAGATTTTCATTTGGAAATGCTTAACAGGGGCATTACCAGTAAGAGCAGCTATTTACAGGAAGACAGGATTGGGAGATCCAGTGTGTAGAATCTGTGGGGAAGAGCAGGAAACAGTGGAACATCTTTTGCTTAAATGCCAACACACTCAGGAGGTATGGAAGGTAGCACCACTACAATGGGATGGGGCGGTAGACCAACAAGGTGACTTCAAACGATGGTGGGTAAGAATCTCAGAGGCAAGGGAAAGGCCAAAGGGGATGGAGCATATTGGCTTGACTGCAAACATCTTATGGCAAGTGTGGAAAGATAGGAATAAGAAGGAATTTGAAAATATAAGCAGTGTTGTACCAGCTAGGACAATTGGGAAAGCTCAGAAGGAATGGCTCGAGCAAGAGGAAAGCTGGAACTCTAAAACCAGCCAGAGCCCAGAAGAAACAACTTCCAACATTGTAAAGCATCATCAGGGGCAGGCAGAAGAAGGCACCATTATTTTGGACGTGGCTACAACAAGTCAGTATGACCAGGTCTCACTGGGGATTGGAGTTACAGCTACAAGACATCCAAGCATCAGACTTGCAGAATGGGCACTTAAAGAAAGAAGTCTGGGGGATAAAGCTATTGATGAAGCAGTGGCCATTAAGCTGGTGTTGTGCAAAGCTCTAGAGCTGCATTGGAGTAGAATCAAGATTCACTCCCACAACCAAGAACTGTTGCGACAGCTAAAGTACAAGAGCCCGTCCAACAGTAGATTAGCCACCTTGATAGATGACATTTTGAACATGCAAAAGTTGTTTCGCATGTGCTTGTTTTGTTTGGTTAAGAAAGAAAGCATAGTAAGAAGTAAAATGTTAAGTTCTCATGCCTTAGGCATTATTGTGGATGAGGAATGGACTTTCCTCAGTGCTACTGAGCACTAGTTGTACAGTATTCTCGAGCCTTTGCTCGCACTTGTAATTTTCTTGTTATATTGAATGAAATGATCCTACCGTTTCGATAAAAAAAAAAAAAAATGCAAGCAAATAAAATTTGGCAAATAGTGTCTATCCGAGCAAATTGAATGATAATATTCCTTTATAAAAATGGTGAAATTGAAAGAAACTAAAGTTTTGGTGTTAAGATGCAATTTGTTGAGTGTTTTCTTTTCGCTCTATTCATGATTACAGCTTAGGCGTGCTCAAGTGGTCCCTTCAAAACAATTTTGAAGGCATCCATATCAAAGCTTAATAATCATAAAAATAGCAACTACTACTCCCCACAAAACCAATCAATATATATTTCAAACCAGGATTAACCCATCCAATTTCCGATGCCCTCCTCTAGATTTAGAACCACAATTGACAAAAATCACACAAAAACGATTCAATCAACAAATACCCAAGCACTGAATTGATGTTATACTTTAGTTGTGCTATGGCACTGAATTTCTTCAACTACTGAACTAACATACTTCTTTCCTAATTTACTGTTTTGGAGGTGCCAAGGATTTCAAGATGTTAAAAAAGTTCAAAAAAAGTAGACCTCTTAACCGGGTGCTCTAGAGATTAAATTGAACGAGACATTTTCTCCATTTGGAGCTAATGATAAAATAGTATTTTGGATTCACTGTGGAAAAGTCAAGCGTTTATGGTTAAAAATTGAAAGTGCTTCTATATTTTTTTCTTTTTTTTTTTTTGGGAAAAGTGCTTCTGATGTTGTTCATGTTAAGGCTTAAGGTTTATTCAAACCCTCCAGTCTGCTAGGTACATTCGCATTGCTCAAAAACAAGTGATAATTGTTTCGAGAATTGTTCAAATTATCCGGTTTAATGCATGATATATTATGGAATAATTTGCATGCATAATTTTAACCAAATAATACCCTCAAATGCAAGGTGATAGTCTAGCTAGCGGAGAAAATTAATTTCTGGGACGTTATATATTTCTTTTCTTTTCTTTTTATTTCATATGCTTACTCAATTATGGTATAACTGTACATCAGAAGTAATAGCAGGAGTAATTCAATTCCTACTGTAACTACAGGTGAACACCAATTCATGCAGAATGAGGAATTTTTTCCTTTCCCCTAGTCTAAGAAGATTCAGACTCATAGTAATAAGATACCAGAAAATTTATTTTGCATTACACTTAATAATTAAAGTTGTAATTGCTATTTTGCCAAAAAATTTTAAAATTTATTCAACTTATATCATACATATAATTTTCAATCATTTTTTTTAATCTTACATGTATCATTTCATAAAAAAGCACTACTGTGTTGTTTGCAATATATTTCCACTAGCACTATAATAGTCGTTACCTAATGGTACTAATTATGATGGTTTTTGCTCACGAGAAAATGAAACCTTCTATTATTATTGAACCAATGTCATCGTTTTTCTAGTTTTTGCATTTGGTTTAATGCTGAATAAAATTGGTGATTCCACATAGAAAATCATTTTTATCTACACACAAGTATTCCTTTTGAGGCTTGCTCCGTTAGGATGAAGATGGATGGTATATCAGCTTTTGATCTATTTGTGATTACAGTCTCAAATGTCTTCTGCTTTACAAAATTATTTGCTAGCAATTTCTATCAATTTCTTTGGATTGGATCTCCTATCAATCCAAACCTTCCGTAATAATGGTGGGTTGTTAATGCGTAGTAACGACATGGGTAGAAAAGTAAAGAATTCATTGCCTTTCCTGTCTGTCACGTGATATGTTTGTCGAACCTTTTCTTCCTTTTCATTTTCCTTTTATTGCAGCAATTCTAAAAAGAGTATTCAAAAGCTTAAAAGTACGAATAAATAAAAAGACTAAAAACCACCACCAATTACTAGATTTTGGTTTCATCTACTGCTAACATTCTACTCTTTCTCACCTTCAAACTCGCGAATTGCCAGGTTCCATTCCACGCTCTAAAAAATATCAAATTCTATCTTTCTCCCAGATATCGAGCTGACCGGATGGCGGGCGCGTTAGTGGATGCACTACTTGGTTCCACTACAGAAGTTCTAGTGGAGAAGGCAATAAACTTGGCTTCCGAACAAATTCGCCAGTTCGTTGACTTCAAGAAAGATTTGGAGAAACTGAAGAATACGTTGAAACTAATCCAGGCTGTCCTCTGTGACGCAGAGAAAGAGCAGGTGACTAAAGAGCTCGTGAAGCGATGGCTGGAGAACCTTGAACGTGTGGCTTTCGATGCTGGTAATCTCTTGGATGACATCAACTATGAGATGATCCGGCGCAAAGTTGAGATCCAAAACCAAATGAAGAGGAAGGTATGCTTGTTCTTCTCACTCTCCAATCCCATTGCATTTCGTTGCAGAATGGCCAAAAAAATTCAGAAAATCAATATGGATTTGATAAGTATCAATAAACAAGCAACGAAACTTGGCCTCCAGTCACAGACTGCACCTGCTCTTCCTCTTCCTAGTGAAGCAGGATTTATGGAGAACAGACAGACTGTCTCTGCTGCTGTTGGTGCGAGTTTTATTGGAAGAGATGATGATGTTTCAGCAATAGTAACAAAGCTAACTGCCACAAGTAACAATGAAACTATCTCCGTTATTCCTATAGTGGGGATGGGCGGGATCGGGAAGACCACCGTGGCTCAAAAAGTTTTCAATAGTCTAGATATTGAAAACCATTTTGACAAGAGAATGTGGGTGTGCGTGTCTGATTTTAAAAAAGATTTCGATGCCAACAGGCTTTTTGGTTTGATGCTAGAATCATTGGAAGTCCCCATGCCCGAAGTTGCGAGAAAGGAAGCCAAAGTCAGGAAGCTTAAGGAATCATTAGATGGTAAAGAACCGAATGGTAAAAAGCCGCTAAAGTATCTACTGGTCCTCGATGATGTATGGAATGAGGAGCCCGCACCATGGAATAGGTTTCTGGATTCTTTGCGAGGTATTAGCTCAGCCAAGGGAAGCTGGGTTATTGTGACCACGCGTAACAAACGAGTGGCAAACATCACAGCATTTGCTTCTCGTCCTTGTTCCTTAGAGAAATTATCAGATGATGACTGTTGGCTCATCATTAGTAAAAATGCATTTCGTGACAGGGAAGCACCGGGTGATCTAAAAGAGTTAGGATTAGAGCTTGCAAAGAAATGCCAAGGCTTGCCATTAGCTGCAAGTGTTCTTGGCGGTATGTTGCGCAACAAGGAAAGAAATGAATGGCAGTCAATTTTAGATACTGGGCTTCAAAATATAGGTGGAGACGAAGATGGTGACATCACTAAAATTTTGAAGTTGAGCTTTGACCATCTTCCGTCTCTATCTCTTAAAAAGTGTTTTGCATATTGTTCAATTTTTCCCCAAGATTTTCAAATGGAAAGGAATCAGCTAATCCAACTGTGGGCTGCAGAAGGATTTCTTCATTCAAAGCCAAGGAAAGAGATGTGTATGGAGGAAGTTGGTAATTGGTACTTTACCATTTTGTTGGAGAGTAACTTGTTTCAAGATGCAGAGAAGGATGATTATGGGAATGTTTTGAATTGCAAAATGCATGATCTTGTGCATGATATGGTGCAATCCATTTCCAATTCCAAAACTTTAAGGTTGACAGAGTCTGGTAGTGTTGATATGGAAACGTCTTCTATTCGGTATCTTGCACTGGAGAGAAGTGAAAAAGAAATGCCATTTCCTTCCACTGAAAGTTTCAAGCATATTACGACATTGTTTTTGCAAGGAAACAAATCACTTAATGACAGGGAGATGTCATTTTTTATGTTGCGAGTTTTGAACTGAAGGGCATCGAGCGTCGAAGAGCTTCCTAAATCAATTGGCAAGCTAACTCATTTGCGATATCTTGATTCGTCAGAAACTTCAATCAAAACATTTCCAGAGTCTCTATGTCAGCTTTACAATTTGCAGACATTAAGAGTTAAATATTGTGACTCACTGACAAAGTTTCCTAAGAATTTCAAGAATTTGGTGAATTTGAGGCACTTTGACTTTTTCTCTTCTCATAAATCAAGTGATATCATGCCTTTTGAGATTGGACAGTTGCAATTTCTCCAAACTTTGCCATTTTTCAATATTGGTGAAGAAAGAGGTCGACAAATTGGAGAATTGAGGAATTTGAAGAATCTTAGTGGACAACTTGAGTTACGTAACCTTGAATTAGTGAAAAGCAAGGAAGAAGCCGTGTCCGCAAATCTGATTGGAAAGCCAAACATTGATGAGTTAAAATTACTGTGGAATGAAATAGATAATTCAAGAAATAATAAGTTTGTTTGGATTGTGAATTATTAGAGATATTTTTACTGTAACACTTTTTGTGATGTGATGTATGTGAGATAAAAAGGTAATTGGGAAGATAAAAAGGTGTGTTGGAAATTGTAATGATGATGTAAGCAAATATATTTTGACAAATAAACCGCAATCCAAACAAACCAAATGATAGTGAATACAATCAAGTGCTGGAAGGCTTGCATCCTTACCCAAATTTGAAAGGTTTGATAATTGAAAGATTTTTTGGTGACCAGCTTTCGAAATGGATTGGAGAACTCGGGAGATTGGTGAAATTTGAATTGCAAAATTGTAAAAATTGCAAAGAGTTACCGACTCTTGGACACATGCCCTTCCTCAAATTTCTTTACTTGAAAGGACTTGACAGCCTAACAAGTATAGGCTCTTCTTTTTATGGCAAATCAGGCGTGCATAGTGGCGGTACCAGTCAAGGACACGTAAACTTGTTTCCAGCACTTGAAGATCTCAGTCTAGATGATATGCCAAATTTGAGGGAATGGATGGAAGCAACAGTTGATGATGGGACAGTGGTGGTGTTTCCAGTCCTCCATACTATGAGGATTACTAATTGCCCTCAATTAGCCACTTTTCCAAATTATTTTCCACGTCTCGAGAAATTGGAGATGCATAACACCCAAAATGGATCAGAACTAATGGGATATATTTGTAGCGGAGTCAGCACTCTTACTAATCTTTCCATTCAGAGTGTGAATGGGCTCACCAAGCTACCAAGTGTGTTATTCCAAAACAATCCAAAGCTTGCACATCTCCAATTAAGGGATTGTGATGATTTGGCCCAATTTTCGGATTTTTCGTTTGATGTTCCTCAATCCTTAGAAGGACTAAATGCTGCTCAACATTTGGTTGGCCTTGAGTCGCTAGAGGAATTAAGAGTTAGTGGGTGCGACTTGCTCGAGTCAATTTCAATCCCCAAGGGACACAAATACCTCATTGCCCTGCGAGAATTAAGGATTTACCTCTGCGATGAGTTGACCCACTTGTCCATCCCCCAAATATCTGAGTCAGAGTGGGATTCCACTTCTTCACCCTTCTCCTCCTCCGGCACTTGTCCTTCTCCTCTTCCTCTTGAGACATTGGTTGTATTCGATTGCCCTGATCTTATCTCCTTCCCAATTGATTTAACCCGAACACCTTCTCTCTCTTCCCTGGACATATCATACTGTGAGAAATTAACCTTCTTGCCCAAGGGGAAGCTTTGTTCTCTTAAAAGATTAGATTTGTTAACCATCGGACCATTCTCAGAAACCACCACAGAGCTGCATTCCTTCCTAGACCTCTTTGATGCTCTCCCACCACCGCACCCCTACTTCCCCTCCCTTTCAGAATTATGTCTGCGTGGATGGCCTCATTGGGAATCTCTGCCCGAGCAACTTCAGCAGCTCTCTGCTCTAAGAGAACTTTGGCTAGATGGTTTTGGAGTAAAATCATTGCCTGATTGGTTTGAGAAGCTTTCCTCACTTGAAACACTCAGTCTCTGCGGTTGTGAAAAGTTAGAGAATTTCCCCTCTCGCCAATCTATGAGAAGCCTCACCAGCCTAACAAATCTGTGGATTCAAAGGTGTCCCCTTCTAAAGGAAAGATGCAATCCAGAGAGCAGCAGCAGCAACCGCACAGACCGCAATTCTGAGTGGTCAAAGATCTCCCACATTCGCTCCATTCATATTGATTTCGAGCAGATCAGAGGCTAATCTCCATTTGAAGTTCATAAATAATGTCAGTTTCCCCAATCAAAGCTACTAGGTAATCCTCTATACTACTTCACAGCTTTGTCAATTAATTATTGCTTCTTCTATCCATCTATATTTATTTCTTTTCCCTCAAAATCTTTTCTTAGTATTGACAGCGGTAATGTATTGATACTGTCTGTCAATCGAATCTTTAATTGTGCAGTCTAAATTTTGCCGAATAACTGTTGCGAACCTATCTTTCCTTGGTTCTCTCTGAATTTCTGCTTTCCAGGTAACCTCTCCGTTCATTTGTTTGTGTGTTTTTTCTCTGAGTTTCCACTTTTTAGATATTCATTTGTGATCTACTACCACTTTTAACTTCCTCTGACTGATTGTATGTTTCAACTTGTTAAAGAATTAACAGTGTCCGAAAGTTGGTTGATGACAGCAATTTTGTGAGACCATACCTGGAATTTATTGCGAAACATGATTGTCGTGTCTGATATGGTTATCCACAACCATTTCCAGTTGCCATATTTTGTGGAAAATTTCAAAATTTTGCAGTTTTTAGTGGGTGATATAAACTTAACCAACTTAGGGCGGTCAATTAGGCTAATTTTTCACCATATCCAACAAGTATTTTTGATCGAATTTGTTCGGTCTTATTTTCTTTCTACTTTGCTTAAGCACTGTGTGCGTTATGTTTCAATATTTTATGTCCATTTTTTTTTCTTAATTTCATTACTGATCATTTCAGTTAATTGTTAATTCAAATCTGGATTTTTAGGCAGCAGTGGAAGTGTAAAATCTTGCCTTTTGCTCAAACAAATTAGAGACTGCCTTGGCTTCTTTTGAAGTTCTAAAAGTGGTATATTTGGTATGAGTGAGCTTCTGTGTCACAATATTTAGCTACGCAAGCTGCTTTCGGCATGCCATTAATGCTTAACAATCATTCTTCCTGGTTTCTCCTTTTTACCATTTATATATTCATCCTTGCGCAACCCCTATGCATATGAGATTGTAAGGATTGACAACTGAAGTGGCTAACTAACACCACTATCATGTTGAAGTGTTAAGAATGTTTTACATGAGAATGACAGTGGACAAGCTCAGTGAGTCATATAGGAACTTATGGGTGTCTTTCTAGTAAAAGCTTTGTAACATAATGAGCAAAGGGATAATGTTTTGTGGCAGTGATGCAAAACTTTCCATTCAGTTGAGAATTTTCACTTATTAGCTGAAAGCAAGAGGTTTTTACTCAAAATGCTGATTTTTCCCCGTGTCAAAGAATGCACTTCATGAAGTAATTATGAATTCCCAATGTAAGAGATTTTTCCTCAAAATGCTGATTTTTTTTTTGGGACTTCAAGAAGTAAACTCAATTCCCTATGGTTACATGGAGATTCTGAACTTAGCATGATTCTGAGCATGATCCTTTTTTCACTTTCTTTAAACAAATTGTAGTAGTACTCGGAGGTTGTTAGGCTATTAAGTATTGGACTTGGAAAAGGTCAATATTTAGTGGGATTAGGATAACACACTTTGGGTTAAATAGTTCTGGTAAATCAACTCTCTAACCTTTGTTGAGGAGCACAGGGCTGTTAACTAGTTAATCTGCTATAGCAACATTCACTACTTGGAAAAATAGGGATCACTATTTTGTATTGTCTGGCAACTTATTTGATAATCATCTTATTTTGGGTGTTTGTTTTTTTTTTTTTTGTCATTTATGATCTTTTCTTTATAACATTACCGAAATCTCCGAAGTCTTCAGCTATTGCAGTTTCCTTTTCCTCAAGAGGACTTGTTCACTTGGTGAGGGCCTTCTATCTTCAAAAGCGTCCATCAGGGCTCTTCCAAGGGGAGCTCTTCCTTCTTCTTGATATGGAGAATGTTTTTAGGCGATTCATCTCTTAGTTGCAGAGTTAGTTCTTATCCTTTAATAAATTATATGTGTCTATTGAAAAATATTACTAGGAGATTACATTTTTTTATGTCATAAGTTCTCAAATGCAACCCTGCTTTTTATGCAGTTGTTTGAGAGCTGGACATCTGATGAATGGTCTAAAGAAATGTTTTCATGGGGCTATTACAAGGTTGATGGAAAAGATGTCATGGTTAATACTCTCCCTTTGCTCATGTCATAAAGTCCTCCAGCCTATCATGCTATATTGATAATTGTGAGTCTTTGAAATGAATCAGGTTAATGGACTATGGAGAAGGTCAAATTTTTTATGTACGAGTGGTATACATGAAATTCTGATCCGTATCATTGAATCAGGAAGGATCAACTTTGTTAGCAGTATAGTCCTTGAGGATGGCAATTCCTGGTGAGAGAGTGTCCATGCCTTGTAAGGGGAACCTGTTATGAAAAATACTTGGTGAGTTATTTTTCCTCTGCAAAATTATAAGTATGGTGAATAGACAAGCCAAACACCTTTTTTAAATATGCTGCAATTAGAAAAACAAGTGAATAAAAACTCTAGATTGCCCATTATCTGCACTAAGTAGCTTCATTGGGAAAAAAAAATATAAAGAATATGCTATTTAATTATCAAGAAACATCACTTGTCGGGATTAGGATTTACAGTCTTGCAAATTCAGTGTTTTCAATTATTTAGTGAGTTCTTACAAAATTATTTGTGCTTTTCAAATTTGCAATTGCTTATAAATTTTGGGGAGGGTACTTGAATGCTAGTGCCATCCTCTAATGTTCTTATTTCTTTGCTTATTCGTGATTTTTTATGTATATTGTTGTGGACTTCTGATTTTATATTTCAAGTGTAAGGACTATTCCTATTGAAACAAGTCTTCTTATCATCTTAGAGTGAAGATTTGAACAAGATCCAGAGTCCAGATACTTTGTTTGGATAGTTTGACTGCTTGGACATATAGATTGAGGTGGGGCTATGTTAGAGGTTCAAATGGTTTTCTAGTGGCATAACCTGATGTTAACTGCATTCGTGATAAACACTGAGATGCTAGGTTCCACCTAAGGAAGTAAAGTCAATTTTAATAACTTGGAAATAGGTGACCTTAATGTGGTTAGCTAGTTAACACTTTTATACTTTTGTTAGTATTAATTTCTCGAGAACAAAATATACCATTTCATTCCTTTAAGATTTAGCATTGATTCATGTTGTTATCTTCTAAGAACTGTATTTCACTGATTGTTTCACTTTATTGTATTTGCTGCATCATGGACTCAGCACGTCTTGCATAAATTCATAGCATGAAATTCAAAATGCTGTTGACTGAGGCCTGATGGTAGGTCACAGCTTTTTTGGTCACAAGACACTTTTGAACAGAAAAGGCATGGCACCTTTTGAGGAACCTTTGCTATATTATCTAGAATATGCAATGACTTCTGAGATTTCGGTCTTTACTTGGCCTAGTTCAAGTGTCCTCTGCAGTTGCACTAGAACAAGTAAGCAGAAAAATATTTTAGTTGGAGCGATCTATCTGGGCTCCCCCGAAAGGAAGACTCTTGCACTTTAATCACACACAGATAACGTTAAGTTACAATTCAGCATGACTGTAATCCATTCTGTATTGATGATGTATGCTTATTGTTCAACTTGTAATCTGATGCCATTTCTTCTGTGGTCATAGGCAATTCTAAGCCTAATTTAAGTCTATAGTTACAATGGTGAGTCCATGAAAGTATACAAGAGGCTGAGGCAGAGAGAGAGATTTTATTGAGGCCTAAAGCTCTATAAGAATCTGCATGAATGATGATTCTGGCTGGCTACAGGGATTCTCATTCATGTGGTGGACTTCTCTTTGTGATTTTAATATTCTGATTCAAGGAAATTTATCCGGTTTTTGTTACTTTTGCTGATTTCTTTGTTTTTTCGACCGAGTTTCATAATCAATAGAATCAAAAAGATCTTGACAGATTGCCATTTATTTTAAACTTGTATGAAATTGTGAATCTTTTGCCCATTGTTTACAAGGTAAAGAACAGATATATGGATTAGCCAATACATGGGAAAGCAGCTGGTTGGATTTTAAGTCATGGTGTGTCCTTGCTCTCATAATCATGAATATACTCCTGGGTCTGCAGCATCCATTTTCTGGAGCGTACTTACTACTGCACTTAACCTAATGACTTTTTAAATGCTTATAGTCTTGCAGAAACAGAATTCGCCCCCATTCTGATGACGAATGCTGCTAATGGGGCTTGTCAGCCCTTTAAGGAAACATAGCTTGGTCTCCTCAAGAAGCTTTCATTGATCTGTTGAAGGATTCTGAGTTGGCACATCTGAAAAGCTTGAGTGGTAACCCTCGTACCAATTCATCAGAAGCCTCCCTATAGGATGCATATCTTCTGATCTAAAGGGAAGGTGCTGTAACAAGAGCTGCTGCCCCAACATTGAATGGTACTGGCATTACCAGATACTCTACTTTGAGATTGATCATATTCTAATTGGATGCTAAGTTGTCAAAATTTGCTCAAATTCTCAGAAAATACTTGTCTATGCCTATGTTATGGATGCCTCAATACAGTATATACCATTATGCTGGCTTCAGTTCTATGTTAAGGATGCCTCAATGCAGTATACACGATTATTGCTACATGTAAAGTCAATGAGTATTACAATTTAACACATTGTAACGTATATGATCTTGCACAATCTATTTTGAGTTTTGGAAAATCTGGTGCAGAGAACATTTGCAAAATTTGTTACCTTGAATTTAAATCATTTGGAGAAAACACATGCACTTTCAGGAAGGAAATGGCAAGTAGTCTTTTAATATTGTTTTTGGAGGCTAATACATTTGATGTCATGTTCACCTGCAAGCTTTTGCCTTCTTTTTTTTTTTTTTTAATTCTGACTTAGGTAGATATTAATCAGTTGCCAACATAAATTAGCAAGTCGATACACTTGCTTTTATCTTGATCTATCAATTACGGCAATCAAAACTTTGCCGATATCTGTTGGCAAGCTTTACAGGGAGTTTTTGAGAGTTAAGAAGCACTACTGTCCATGAGAACTCTAGATCCCACCATTGCCTAAAATGGGGCATTTTTCTTGTCTTCAAACATTAAGATTCTTTCATGCAGGTCAAGACCAATGTCCTCAGATTGAAGAATTGGGATATCTAGAGAACCTTTCTTGGAGACTGATTTTCTGCTATCTTAAGAGATTCAATGGCAAAGAAGCTTCTCAGAGGGGCAGATTTGTTAAAGATCCAAATTTGTCCAAGTTGGAATTCCGATAGTAGGTTTAAGAATAACAAGAATGTGTTAAAAAGTTACTCAGCCTCAACCAAATTTAAAATACTTAACAATTCTAGATTTTGTGCAAGATCGGTTACCGTCATTGCTTATCAGAATGGAAGCTCATATTGATAATTCATTCCTAAGGCTTAAAAAATTGATGGAGGTCAAATTGTCGCACCGCAGCAACTTGCAATGGATTCCCAACATTTGGGCGTTAACTGTTTCTTCACTGTCATGTAATGGATTGACTACATAGGATAACAAGCCTTAGATTTTCACTCCAGTTGTAAAGTCCTTTCCAGCACTTAAATCTCTGGCCCCACATGTGGAACCTTGCAGAGTGGATGGAATATTTCTGATTTCTCCCGCAAGTGTCAAAACAATATGCAGAAAATTCTGAAATCAATTATGCCTTTAGTATTCTCTTGTCATACTTAAAAAGGATATTTTAGAAAGTCTCTTCAATGGTTTTTGACTGTATCACCAACCCAAGGAGTATCACCTTTTTTCTTAGCTTTTTTCAACAAGAAAAGAATGGAATTTAAGAAATAGGGAGAGACAAAGAAATTAAAATCAAGACCTCTAAGTCAGTTTTGTAGTTTTAATCTCAGCCACTAAATTACCCAATCATATTGAATGCTAATGAACCAGTTGACACCATGATCACTTAGGTCTTTCCAGACCAAGTTTTTTTTTTTTGTAGTGCTATGAGCTCAGAGCTAGAAAAATTGTGAACCTTTAGTTTTTGTCCTTTTCGTTATTCAAGATAGCAATGGTAATTTCACGTTAGCATACGGGACCAAAAAAGTGTTGCTTTTTTTTTTTTTTTGGCCGGGGGGGGGGGGGGGGTTGGGTTGTTTAGTAGCCAATCTTTTGTGGATTTCGATTTTTTCCTTCCACATTTTTTTAGGAGTTTAAGTGCAAAAATAACTGTCAAACTATCTCTTTTTTTTGGTTATCAATCTTGCTTTTTCTTTTTCCTTCTAGATTTTCTTTCAGAATAATTTTTAGAACAGCAACAATGATTCAATATAAAGTTGGCATCTGAGGACTGAAAAGGTAGACTGTTTGCATGTAGAAACTAATCGCTTTCCGTCAATTTCATTTATTTTTCTTCTATTCTTTTTTACCAAAATAATTGTTAGAATAGCAAATGTATATTGTAACTTCCTGCGTTGCAATTACAAATATATATATATATTGTAATTTGTAACTTCCTATGTTGCCATGGTGATTTATGGTTCAGTCTCGTCAACAGGGGAAAAAAAATCATATTCCTAAAACCTCAGGGTTTCTAAGTTTTGTTGTCAAAAGGCTTTGAAATTATACCTCAGAAAACCTTTCATAGTTTCTTAATTCTTTCAGTCTTTTTCTTTTTCCTTTCTTTTTTTCTTATTTTTCCTTTCTCTCTTTTTCTTAAGAAGAAGAAGAAGAAGAAGAGGAGGAGGAGGAGGAGGCATAATTAAATAGAAAATGGCAGTGGTTGGGAACGAACTCTTTAATTTCATTACATGAAGCATCTAACATACAATAATTAGAAATTTGATCATATTTAAATTTTAACAAACAATTTATTGTGATAAATATAAGACTTTTGGCTCCATTACTTTGTGTAGGAGGAACTAAACAGTCGAAACTGCTACTATAAAGATAAATTTATGATGGAATCAAAAAAATTGTAAATAAATATGTAAGGGAACCCAATTAGTGTTTTTCCTTTTTCAAAAAAAATTAATCTTTCGAGAAATTGGGTGTGAATTACCTTTATCCTTTGGTTCTTATAGTCTATTTAGAAAGGAATCTGAATTAAAAAAAATGAATTTGTAAAGACAAAATATCTAAAACATTTTTTCTTTTACTTTCAGTGTGAAATCTAAAAATTTCCCTTCCATAGCGCATAAGTACAAAATGGGAGAATAGGACCATAGCAATTGAGTACCTATCGGATAAGATAGACTAGACACTAAAATAATAATCTTACATACTAAACTGATGAAATGGCTATAATATGTATTATTCATATGCGAGGCCTACCACATTTTTACATTTTCTGGTATTTTGCGAACAAATGCTATGTTTATGTTTACAATCACCAATGTCTTGTTGGCGTTAAACAACAATAAAGGCAAATATGCATCAAATTGCATACGCAAGTAGTAAGTAAAAATTCAAAATATTCACATTAAATTAACAAATGAAAATATTTGAGGCAGCAAGCGTCAATTTTCCTATAAGTGAAATAAAATTAAATCTGAAAAGTGACTAAAATGCAATGCCGACCATGGTTTCTTATCGTATCTTTTTTTTCCCCTTCTTTTGGGGAATATTATTTGTCATAAGTTTTCTAGTCCATACTGTATAGCTAATCTATAAAAAGGTCATATAGCAATAGCATAATATCTGTGAAAAGATTCTTTTTGTTTTGATTTATTAAGGATTTCGTTTTAGACATTTTAACAAGTGCTCATTGAATACTCTAGCTTTCAATTCACATGCATGAATGCCCATAATCAAAAGGTTTTTCCACTCAAAATGGTAGAAGTAACAATTTATCACTCTAGAATGTTTGGTGATCAAGTCTCAGTGAAATGTCGATTCATTTCCAGTGTCTGATATAATCAATATTTACATGTCAGATGGAATACAATTAATAAAATTTTAACTTAAATACCCATGATTAATTTATAAAAATAATACTTTTTATTTCTTTTTTTGTTATTTGTTTGTTTAGATCAAATTTTGACACTTTTTTCCTTTAGAATAATTGAGAATTGATGTTAAAATTTTGGATAAAAAATAAAAAAGCTCCCTGTGATAAACCTAATACACAGAAAAGCCTCCCATGGTTTCAAAATATACAACACGACTCCTCATACTTTAAACTAAATTGTAAAGGTGACAGAATCCGTTAAACTTAAAGGAAATGGACAAAAGGACCAAAATGCCCTGATATAATTAAGCAAAAGACAGCTCAAAAGAATCATTTGTTTTATTCTCTAAATAGAGAGAATTGAGAGTTAAGGGATAGAATAGGTATATTTGATAAAAATTAGGTATAAATTTTTTTTTAAGTTCCAACAAGTCATTTCCGTTAAATTTAATGGATTCCGTCACCTTTACAATTTAGTTCAAAGCATGAGGTGTCGTGTTGTATATTTTGAAACCATAGGGGGCTTTTCTGTGTATTAGGTTTATCGGAGGGGGTTTTTTTGTTTTTTACCCTAAAATTTTTTAATTGTAATACTTGACTCATTCTAGCATATAGATTTTTATGTTAAAATTTTGCATCATAGTAGAATATAAATTACATAAATCAAAGTAAATGTAATATATATTGTAATTTTTATTATGTTTTCATTTTGAAATGAAATTCAAAAATTTTCACACATTTGTTCAAACATCATATAATAAAGTATCTTAAAACACTTGTTTGCTCGTAAAAAACAATTATTTAAATACTAGAAATATTATTTATTATGAAAAATAACATTCAAATATTAATTAAGTTGACAAATGTCCAAAGATATGGTGATGCAATAAAAAAGACTTATAAAAATAAATTTGACATCCTACTATTTTGGACATTTTGAGATGAAATTGGAAAGAACTTCCATATGTTTTTTTTGGAAATATTAATAAAAAAGACATATAAAAATATTTGACATCATAAGAAAGACTTATAAAAATAAATTTGACATCCTACTATTTTGGACATTTTGAGATGAAATTGGAAAGAACTTCCATATGTTTTTTTGAGCAATGGAGATTTGAAGAAAAAGGTTGAAATGAATATTTAAGGCAAAAAGGTTTCCCAATTAAATGATCCATACCAAACTTGGAATGAAATAGACAAGCTAAAAAGATCTTTTGTTTTCCAGGCCCTTCCTGCGTACTAAACGTGGAGTAGTAGTATACATGTAAATATTATACACTTTGTGCTTACATTTCTTTTGCATAATATTATAATTGCAAGATAGGATTTATTACTGGCCCTATTAATTATTTTTTCTCCCGTGGGCTTTGTCTTTTCTCCAAGACTATCATCGGTCACCTTTTCTTCGGTAGATTGGAAGGATTTCATTTCATTTTTACACAACATGTATACACACAAAACAAATTAAGGATCTTAACATTTTTAAATCAATCTCACAAGAAAATTAGACTCTAAAAGTGACGCATGTATGTAGACACTAACCTGTTAATGCAATAATTAGTTAATTATAAACACTACTACCTAAATGTTTGTAGTAGGTGCTATTTATCAATGGATCCATCCTCTTTTAGAGGATGTAACTAACTTCCGACTTTGGCACAATGAATTCAAAGTGGAAAAGTCCTCATTGCAAATTATCTGGTCCCTGCTCTTTTTAAGGGATGCATTCAACTTTTTACACTATGCTAACAAAATCAAATGAAGGGTTTTTCACCCAGAACTATCTTGTTTAATAAAATTGACAATTGTTTAGGATTTCCTCCCAGCAAAAGGAGCTTAAGGGTTTAACTATATTTTTACCTTTCTTATCGATTCTATGTGACTATCAATCTTTTGCCTTTTTGTTTGGGGTGGGGTTGGGGATGGGGTGAGGTTTTGAGGATAAGCGTTTATCAAAATTTAGAAGCCAATTTTCAGATTATTTACTATGCTCTGCAATAAAGTGATTCTTTGTCAAATTTGATACTTTGGATGAGATATGCAACTGACTCGGAGAAGATCTCAATCGTACGTTGTTTGCTTGAAGCATAATATCAGAATCATTTGCAAGATTTTGAGACAAAATTCTAAGCTATAGAATAAGAGGGAAAACTTCCACTATTAAAGTATTCTTTTTCTATTGAACAATAAACAAGTAATTTTAGCATCTAACTTGTTTCGCTAAGAATTTTTAATGCACCGAGATTGCATGTCTTGCATCATGATAAAAGATTTTTCAGAAGGTGTGTATAATCTTTTCTCTCTTTCTAAAACTCTGCTCTTTGAAAGTCAAGGACAAAGTTAAAAGTTAGTCAGATTAGCCTAAAAACACAAAAAAAAGGGTAAATTGCATCTAATTTGATGCATCCGCCATGAATGACTGCACTAAAATTTCTAATGCATGGACTAACTATTCAAGTGAGCTTGAGTTTTGTAATTTTAACCACACGAGAACATATGGATTGTTGGGATAGATTGTGAAATGAAATAGAAATGTGACTTGTTGGAACAAGGAAACTCAGAACCTTTGGACAAAACGAGACACAAGATCCGCAAATGGATCCTTGACGATCCGTTTGTGGATCTAGATTTGGCTCTGAATCTAGCCGAATTCGATTGAGTCCAAGGAGTTTGCGATTCTCCGGTCACAATCGGCGAAGCCAATTGGTTCTAAGAAAGGTTTATCCGTCCGGGACATTGTGAGGCTCTTTTAGCATAGTGGATCCGCGACTGGACTCCCAGTTGGGAAGGTGGACCCATCCGCGAATCCTTCTCAGAGGCCAGAAAGTTTCTGAAACAGATTTTGACGCTGTCTATCCAATAAAGGAGCTTAAGTGTTGCCTCTAAAATAGTTTTGTGACCCTTTGTTTGTATTTTTCACTACAAACTGACAAATCTCTAACAAATCAAATTTTAACAAATCAAAATTGGGTAGTACATCCTTTTTTATGCATTGTGCAATGCTTTACTTTAGTCAAGTATTTTACACTTCCTTTTCTGCACCATTTTTTCTTGATCAAATCCTACTTTTAGGCAAATGCTCTTTTGCAAGTCTCTCTACTCGATGAAAGAGAGCAGAAACAGTTACCAAACAACCAAGGAGTGTAATTCTATTCCAATGCCAGCCCTAAAAATACAGCTTGGATAATTAGCCTATGAGATAAAAAATGGCCATTGAAGAATCATGGATAAAATAGCAAAACAATCATACAATGATGGAATTAGTATTTTAGATTGTTATTTATTTGCAAATGTATAGTCCAAATTTTCACTACTAAGTTATTTATTTGCAAATGTATAGTCCAAAATTTCAATACTAAGTTAAATAAATAGCAATGGCCTTGCAAATATTCTAGGATGCCACAGACAAGGAAACAAAAGGACATTACTTTCTTTTTTAAGAAAAAGAATTGTGAAATTAAAGATCGGAAATGCTGAGAAGTTAAGGCGAAGTATACTAGAAGGTTGAGGAAATCAAAGAACTGTGAAAATGAATGATGGTTTGGGTTAGGCCTTTAGAAGATTTTCACGTGGGCAGAGATACAGGTATGCCTAAGTATAGTAGGAAGTTCTTTTTTTTTTTCTCTTTTTTCGTAAATGAGGAAAAATCATGACAACTAATGATAAAGGTAGTGCTCTCTTGTTTCACGAGTAGCTTCCTTCATATTTCATTTGTCATCATCCTTCTTTCTCTTGAATTTGTCAAGAAATTTGATTAAAGCTATATAGAAAATTGAGTGAATCTATAGCCAATTGGTTAAGGATGGTGGGATTTAATGCTTTCTTGATCATACTTGTTCCATGAACTGTAATACTCTATCCGAATGAATTGTCTATACTATCGGACTAATGTATTTGATAAAAATTATTACATAGATCAAGTAAAAATTAACCTTTAACATCATAATTTAACATATCTAAATTACATAACCACTAGAATTCCTCTACCCTCACCAAACAAATAACCTCATCCAGCAGTATTTTCCATTGTATAGAAATTGAACTTTCTTTTTTCCCTTTATAGAATCAAATGCCATCTTAGGTGGTCAATTCAGGTACTTATTTTTCCTTTTAGACATTCAGGAACCTAAAGAAATCATCCCACAAAATATTTGTTAATTGTTTGATAGTCAGTTAATAACTCTCAAGCAATGAAAGATTGAGGAGACATGAAACTTCACTGCCATAACCAAATTGAATATAATCACTCGTACACTTGCATTGAGCCTACGACTTAGAGACCAAGAGTTATATGCAATTCATAAGGATGGCTTTTGTATTAGAGTAAGAGTAGGAGTGCTAAGAAAGTCTTCATGTAATAGCTAAAATTGAAATTTCAAAAATTAGAGGTCTTGAGTTCAAATTCCTCGCCTCCTTCCCTATTTTTTTTTAAGATCCACTCCTCTCTTGCTTGCAAAATTAAAAAGAAAAAGTAGGAGCAAGAGTAGATTAAACTTATAGTGTTTAAAAAATAATAAAAAATAAAAAATTTATTAGAATGTGTGCTTAACCCTTTACGTCTTTCTAAATCTCTGCTCAATAAAAATTAGGAACAAAGTTAAAAATTAGCTAGATTAGCCTAAAATCACCAAAACAAATTCTAAAATGTATCTAATAAAGTGCGTCTACCCATCTACCATGGATGACTATGGTTGTAAGTTCCTTTTCAATCCCACCCACACTGAATTTTTTTTTTTTTTAGTCACCACACTGAATTATTGAGATTGTTTCGTAAGTTCATTATTGCTTCAGACTTGCGAGCATAGTACTGGCCACCACAAAAATATAAAAACACATGGATAGACTCAGTTATCCTTTTTTTTTTCCTTTTGAAAGATAGACTCAGTCATCCTTTGTTTAGTTAAAGTCTTTTTACACTTTTCGTACTCTACTTAGTAGGTCAAAATTTACCACATCATTTTATCAATTTAAGTATTTATGCACAATGAAGAAGATGCGTCCAAATTTAAATTTTAAATGATTAGAGCTAGTAGATTAGGTCTTATCCAAACTTTTATCGTGAAAAGAAAGCAGAAAAAGTTAACAAGTGTAATTCTATTCCAGTGCGAGCTCAAGTAGTAAATGCAAGTTGTAACCGTTTAAGGTTAGCCTAAAAACACAAAAAAAAAAAAAAAAAAGAAGACGCGTCTACCATGGATGACCGGGGAAATGGTTGTAAGTTCCTTTTCAAGGTAAATTCTGTAGTGCAGAGTGAATTATTGAAATGGCCCAGTGACGTGAGTTTTGCCATGTCTGACTTGTATGCATACGACAACTTTATGTTAAATTGTTAACGCAGGTGCATCCGGAACAATATAGATTATTATATAGGTAGAAAAGTAAAGAATTCATTAAGCCTTTCCTGTCTGTCACTTGATATGCTTGTCGGGACCTTTTCATTTTCCTTTTATTGCAGCAATTCCAAAATGAGTATTCAAAAGCTTAAAGTACGAATAGAAAGGTTAAAAACCACCACCAACTACTCGTAGACTTTTGGTTTTGGTTTCATCTACTGCTGCATTCAACTTTTCCTCACCTTCAAACTTGCAAATTGCCCGGTTCCATTCCGCACTCTCAAAACTATCAGATTCTCTCCTTCTCTTAGATAGAGACCTGATGGCGGACAAGGTGGTGGATGCACTACTTGGTTCCACTGTTAAAGTTCTAGTGGAGAAGGCAATAAACTTGGCTTCCGAGCAAATTGGCCTGTTTGTTGGCTTGAAGAAAGATTTGGAGAAACTGACGGACACGTTGACTCTGATCCAGGCTGTCCTTCGTGATGCAGAGGAACAACTGGTGACTCAAGAGTTCGTGAAGCGATGGTTGGAGAACCTTGAAGCAGCGGCTTTCGATGCTGGTAATCTCTTGGATGACATCAACTATGAGATGATCCGGCGCAAAGTTAAGATTCAAAACCAAATGAAGAGGAAGGTATGCTTCTTCTTCTCACTCCCCAATCCCATTGCATTTCGTTCCAAAATGGCCTGCAAGATTCAGAAAATCAATATGGATTTGAAAAGAATCAATGAAGAAGCAAGGAACTTTAGCCTCCAGTCACAGACAGCATCTGCTCTTTCTCCTCCCAGTGAAGCACGATTTATAAAGAACAGAGAGACTGACTCTGTTACTGTTGATGCGAGTTTCGTTGGAAGAGATAATGATGTCTCAGCAATAGTAACACAATTGACTGCCATGAATAATAATGAAACTATCTCCGTTCTCGCTATAGTAGGGATGGGAGGTATCGGGAAGACCACCTTGGCTCGAAAAGTTTTCAATGATCCAAATATTGAAAAACATTTTGACAAGAGAATATGGGTGTGTGTCTCGGAGGATTTCAATTCCAATAGGCTGTTTGGAATGATTCTACAATCGCTGCAAGGTCGAGAGCCTGAAGCCAAGGATAGGGAAGCCAGAGTCAAGCAGCTTAAGGCATTATTGGGTGGTAAAAAATACCTACTGGTCTTGGATGATGTGTGGAATAAGGAGTCCACGCTGTGGAATGATTTTCTTGGGTCTTTGAAAGGTACTAGCCAAGAAATGGGGAGTTGGATTCTTGTGACCACTCGTGAGCAACAAGTGGCAACCATCACGAGAATTTCTTCTCCTCAAGATTGTTCCTTGAAACAATTATCAGATGATCAATGTTGGCTCATTCTCAAAGAAAATGCATTTGTTGGTGGGGAAGTGCCGGTTGGGCTGCAAGATATAGGGTTGAAGATTGCGCAAAGATGCCGAGGCTTACCATTGGCTGCAAGTGTTCTCGGTGGCATGCTGCACAACAAGGGACCAGATGAATGGCAAAGCTTAGAGAGTGGGCTTCAAAGTTTAGGCGGAGATGAAAATAGTTACGTCACTAAAATTTTGAAGTTGAGCTTTGATCATCTTCCACATCCTTCTCTTAAAAAGTGTTTTGCATATTGTTCAATTTTTCCCCAGGATTTTGAAATGGAAAGGAATCAATTAATCCAACTTTGGGCTGCAGAAGGATTTCTTAATCCAAATCCAAGAGAAAAGATGTGTATGGAGGAAGTTGGTAAGATGTATTTTAACATTTTGTTGGATAGTAACTTGTTTCAAGATGCAGAGAAGGATGCTTATGGGAATGTTTTGTACTGCAAAATCCATGATCTTGTGCATGATATGGTGCAATCCATTTCCAATTCCAAAACTTTAAGGTTGACAGAGTCTAGTAGTGTTGATAAGGAAACGTCTTCTATTCGGTATCTTGCATTGGAGAGAAGTCAAGAAGAAATGACATTTCCTTCCACTGAAAGTTTCAAGTGTATTACAACATTGTTTTTGCGGGGAAACATATCACTTAATGATAGGGAGATGTCATTTTTTATGTTGCGAGTTTTGAACTTAAGGGCATTGAGTGTCAAAGAGCTTCCTAAATCAATTGGCAAGCTAACTCATTTGCGATATCTTGATTCATCAAAAACTTCAATCAAAACATTACCAGAGTCTCTATGTCAACTTTACAGTTTGCAGACATTAAGAGTTAAATATTGTGACTCACTGACAAAGTTTCCCGAGAATTTCAAGAATTTGGTGAATTTGAGGCACTTTGACTTTTTCTCCAAGGATAAATCAACTGATATCATGCCTTTGGAGATCGGACAGTTGCAATTTCTCCAAACTTTGCCATTTTTCAATATTGGTGAAGAAAGAGGTCGACAAATTGGAGAATTGAGGAATTTGAAGAATCTCAGTGGACAACTTGAGGTACGTAATCTTGAATTAGTGAGAAGCAAGGAAGAAGCCGAGTCTGCAAATCTGATTGGGAAGCCAAACATTGATGTGTTAAAATTACTGTGGAATGAAATAGACAATTCAAGAAATAATGATAGTGAATACAATCAAGTGTTGGAAGGCTTGCATCCTCACCCAAATTTGAAAGGTTTGATAATTGAAAGATTTTTTGGTGACCAGCTTTCGACATGGATTGGAGAACTCGGGAGATTGGTGAAATTCGAATTGCAAAATTGTAAAAATTGCAAAGAGTTACCAACTCTTGGAAACATGCCTCTCCTCAGATTTCTTCACTTGGAAGGACTTGACAGCCTAACAAGCTTAGGCCCTTCTTTTTATGGCAGATCAGGCCTGCATAGTGGCGGTACCTGTCAAAGACCCCTAAACTTGTTTCCAACACTTGAATGTCTCATTGTAGAAGATATGCTAAATTTGAGGGAATGGACGGAAGCAAGTGTTGATGATGGGATGGTGGTGGTGTTTCCGGTCCTTGGTATGATGAGGATTATTAATTGCCCTCAGTTAGCCACTCTTCCAAATTATTTTCCACGTCTCAAGGAATTGGAGATCCATAACACTCAAAATGGATCAGCATTAATGACATATATTTGTAGCGGAGTCAGCACTCTCACTAGACTTTCCATTGAGAGTGTGAATAGGTTCACCAAGCTATCAAATGTGTTATTCCAAAACAATCCCAAGCTTGAACATCTCGAATTAAACGAATGTGATGATTTGACCCATTTCTTGGATTTTTCGTTTGATGTTCCTCAAACTTCAAAAAGACCAAGTTACCAATCAGTACTTGAGCACACTTGTATTGACAAAAATGATCCTCGACATTTGGTTGGCCTTGAGTCCCTAGAGACATTAATTGTTCATCACTGTCCCTCGCTGGAGTCAATTTCAATCCCCAGGGGACGCAAATACTTCACAGCCTTGCGAGAATTAAACATTCAGTGGTGCCATGGGTTGACCCACTTGTCCATCCCCCAAATATCTGAGTCAGGGTGGGATTCCACTTCTTCACCACTCTCCTCCTCCAGTACTTGTCCTCCTCCTCTTCGTCTTGAGCGATTGGTAGTATACGGATGCACCAATCTTATCTCCTTCCCAATTGATTTAGCCCGAACACCTTCTCTCTCTTACGTGGACATATCAGAATGTGAGGAATTAACCGACTTGCCCAAGGGTAAGCTTTGTTCTCTTACAAGCTTGAGAAGGTTAGAAATCGGACCATTCTCAGAAACCACCACAGAGCTGCATTGCTTCCTAGACCTCTTTGATGCTCTCCCACCACCGCACCCCTACTTCCCCTCCCTTTCAACATTATTTCTGTTTGGATGGCCTCATTGGGAATCTCTGCCCGAGCAACTTCAGCACCTCTCTGCCCTAACAGCTCTTGCACTAAGTGGTTTTGGAGTAAAATCATTGCCTGATTGGTTTGGGAAGCTTTCCTCACTTGAAAAACTCAGTCTCTGGGCTTGTGAAAAGTTAGAGAATTTACCCTCTCACCAATCTATGAGAAGCCTCACCAGACTAAGAGAGCTGCAGATTTTTTATTGTCCCCTTGTAAAGGAAAGATGCAATCCAGAGAGCAGCAGCAGCAGCAGCAGCGACCCCAATTCTGAGCGGTCGAAGATCTCCCACATTCCTTATATTCTCATTCATTAGAGGCTAATCTCCATTTGAAGTTCATAAATAATGTCAGTTTCCCCAATTAAAGCAACTAGGTAATCCTCTGTACTACGTAGTTTTGTCAAATAATCTGTGCTTGTTCTATCCATCTATGTTTCTTTCTTCTTAAAATCTTTTCTTAGCATTGACAGTAGTAAATCTTTTCTAACCACCACACCACTAGTTTTTTACAGTTTTTTCCAATTTGGTAGCATAAACTTTTCCAATTCGGTGCTGTGAATTAGGCAGTTTTTTCAGCATATCCATCATGTGTTTTTATCAAAATTTTCATCTTATTTTCTTTCTGCTTTGCTTAAAAACTTAATACATATGTTGTAAGACTGATCTTTTATCTCTATCTATATTTTTAATTGCGTTGTCAATTATTTCAGTTAATTGTTAATATAGTTCTGGACTTATATTCAGTAGTGAAAGTTTTGGACTAGAAAAGTCTTGCCTTTTGCTCAAACAAATTAGTAGAATTAGAGAAATAATAGCATTACTCAAAGGCAAAGGGTTTTTAGTTTCTCATTTCTTTAAGTATTTATGTATTCAACCAAGAGTATGCCATATCCAGTTTATAGTTTGAAATTTTTACATGAGCGATGTGTTTGCCAGATTGTAATGGCTGACAATAAAAGTAGCCAGCCAGCAAAGTGATAGTATTTAAGCTTTAAGAATGCTCTGCATGAGAATGACCGTGGAGAAGCTTGGTGAGTCATACAATTATAGATACTTGAGCCTATCTTTCTAGTAAAAGATTTGTAGTTCAATAAGCAAAGTGATAATATTTTCAAGCAGTAATCAGTGATGCGAAGTTTTTCATTCAGATGACGAATTCCACTTATTAGCTAAAACTAAGAGCTTTTTAACTAAAAAATGCCGGATTTTTTTTTCCCTGTCAAAGAATGAGCTTCATAAAGTAAGCTTAACTCACTATGTTTACACTAGGATTCTGAACTTAGCATGATTGTGAATATGCTTTTGATCCCATGTCATGTTCTTTGAACATATAGTGGTCCTTAATTTGTTCTGAAATTAGCTCAAGGTCATTGACCAGTTAATTGTTGGAGCTTTTGTATCTGTTGCTATTTATGCTATAGGAACAAATGCTAAAATCTATCTTTCACTACTTGGTTAAATGTTGATCACTATTTTGTGTTGTCTGGCAAAGTATTTGACAACCATCTTATTTTGTGCGTCCGCTTTTATTTTTAATTGTTTTTCAATATATGATCTTTTCTTATATGGTAACAGATGTATTGAAACAAAAGTCTTCAGCCATCATGGTTTCCTGTTTTATGGTGAGCAGATAAGTACCTACACATTCTTGGCATTTGCAAAACTGATGGTCTGTTTGTTATGGAAGGGCTTTCTAGCTTCAAATAGATCCATTAGGGAGAATTCCAAAAGGAATTCTTTCTCCTTTGTATGGAGATGTTATGGTACAATTCAACATTCCTGTAATGCTTTTTCTTTTGCTGTATTCAATTGTTATGCAGCTTCTGATCTAATGGCATCTTTTCTTGTGTTGTAGGCAATACCAAGTTTAGTATTAGAGTCTACAATGAACCATTTTAAAAACACATGGAATAGCATAGAGGGCTGAGGGTGTAATATGTTTTCTTGAGGCTTCAAACTCTCTAACATGCTGCAACAAGGATTGTTTGGGTTGGCTAAGGGGATCCTCATGTATGAGGTAACACTCATCTTTCTGATGAAAAATTTGTGAGTCAGGAAAAATTTATCAGACTTCAAAGACAATCTAAAGGGGTAATGATATGTCATTCTGCATAATCACATTCACAAGCATCAGGAGTACTTCTTCTTTTCAGAATCATCTTCAGACCATCCCCATAAAGGCACCACTTTTTTGTATTCAGGTTGGCTATGGGGATTCTCATGCATGAGATAACATTCCTCTTTCGGATGAAAAATTTATGATTCAGGAAAACTTTAACCAACTTCAAAGACAATTTCAAGCAGCAATGCTATTTAATTGTGAAGCTTGTCAGATGATTAAATAGTCAAGTAGCCTTGAAGCAATTGTTTGATATGTCATCCAATTAGAGCTAGTTGGTGTAATAATTGGCAATTTTCTATTTTTATTTCAGCCAGTATACAGTGATTTGTAGCTGGTCCTTGATATTACTTTATCTATGGTTAACCAACGAGAATATTTTCATGTGGTTGATCTCTTAGTTGCGGAGTTAGTTCTTATTCTCTAATGAATGTATGTGTATGTTGAACAATATTAATTAGGGGATTACATTCTTTTATGTTGTGAATTCTCAAATGCAACTCTGCTTTCTTATGCAGTTGTTTGAGTGGGAAAAATCTGATGAATGGTCTGAAGACATGATTTGAAGTTTTATTGTACATGAAAAGCTATGTGTATCAGCATAAGCTGTTGTCTCAATCTGATGGGCCTCATACTCTAGTTCAAGGCTATTGCAAAGTTGATGGAATGGATGCCATGATTAACATGCTTCCTTTGCTTATCTCATAAAGTTCTCCAGTCTACATTTTCATGAGATTTTGATAACTGTGATTCTTTGAAATGAATCAGATAAATGGACTATGAAGAAGGTCAAAATTTTTATGTAGGGGAGGTAGAGTTCAGTGCAGGGGTACACATGGAATCTTGATTCATGTCGTTTCAATAGGAAGTGTTCTGAGAGGAAGGATCAACCGTTTTGGCAGTACTGTTCATATGGATGGCACTTTGCTAGTGAAAGAGAGTGTACTGGTAAGGGAACCTGTTTCAGAAATACTTGGTGAGTTACTTTTGCTCTGGAAAAATTTTAATTCCTTTTGTAAGCACGCTGAAATTAGAAAAACAAAGAAAGAGATGAATAAATAAATAAAAATAAAAAAAATGGGCCAATTATCTCTAACTACAAAGTATTCTGGTTTTCTAACTACAAATAAAAAAGTTTAACTTAGACAATCAGCTATAAAGATGATATGTAACTTCATAATATATAATCACTCCATACCTAGTGAAATGAATAATGCCAATTATCTCTACTAAGTAGCTCTGTTGGAAGAAATAGCGAGAAAATGCTATTTAATTATCAAGAAACGTCATTTGTCGAGATTAGTATTCGTAGTCTCTTGCAAATTCAGTGTTTTCAATTATTTATCAAATTCTTATAAAATTAAATTTGCAGTTTTCAAAATTGCAATTGTTTAGAAAATTTGGGAAGGATTTGGTACCTGATGCCACTGCCATCCTCTAATGTTCATATCCTTTTGCTTTTTATTCATTATGTTCTGCTTCTGATTTCATATTTCAAGAATGGAAGGACTACTCCTATTGAAACAAGTTGTCTTATCATCTTAGAGGGATTTGAACAAGATCCAAAGTCCAGATACATTGTTTGGATAGTTTGATCCCTTAGATATGAAGTTTGAGTGTGGCCATATTGCTGGTTCAAAAGGTTTTCCGGTGTCAATAACCTGATGTTAATCTGATTCATGACAAACTTGGTGCACCTAAAACACTCAGATGCTAGGTTCCACTAAGGAACTAAATTTTAATAACTTGGAAATGGGTAACCTTAATTTAGCTAGCTACTTGCACTGTTAATATTTATATATAGTTTTTTAACTTCTCAATAAAAAAAAAAATCTACCATTTCATTCCTTTAAGAACTTAGCATTGATTTATCTTGTTATCTTCTAAGAACTTTATTTTTCTGATTGTTTTTATGCTGTACTTTCTTTTATTTGCTGCATTTTGGAGTCAGCATGACTTGCATAAATTTCTTAACATGAAATTCATGCTGTTGATTGAGGCCTAAGGATAGCTCTCTGTTTTTTGTTCACAAGACACTTGTTTTAACAGAAAAGGCATGGCACATTTTGAGGAACCTTTGCTATGTTATCTGAGATTATGCAATGAGGATATGACTTCCAGTGGAAGATTTAGGTCTTTACTTGGCCTAGTTCAAGTGATCTTCTGCGGTTGCATTAGAAAAAGTAAGCAGAAAACCTTTATAGTCATAATGATCTATCTGGGCTCTCTCAAAACAAAGACTCGCACTTTAATTGCATACACAACAGGTTAAGTTATAATTCAGCATAACTTTAATCCATTCTACATTGGTCATTGGTATATGCTAATTGTTCGACTTCTAATCTGATGCCATTTTTTCCTATGGTCATAGGCAATTCTATGTCTAATTTGAGAGTCTACTATCACAATGCTGAGCCCATGGAAGTATACATGAGGTTGACAGTGATAGATTTTCTTGAGGCTTAGAGCTCTTCAAGAATCTACATGCAAGACGATTCTGGCTGACTATGGGGATTCTCGTGCATGAGGTACATTTCTCTCTGTGATTTTAGTACTCTGATTCAAGGAAATTTATCTGATTTTCATGGCTTCTGATTTCTTTGTACTTTCCACAGAGTTTCATAATCAGTGGAGTCAAAAAGATCTTCATAGATTGCCATATATTTTAAACTTGTATGAAATTGTGAATCTTTCACCCATTGTTTACAAGGTAAAGAAAAGAGCTATGGATGAGACAATATAGGGAAAGCTATTGGTCGGATTTTAAGTCATGGTATGCCCTTGCTCTTGTAATCATGGATATACTTCCTGGATCTGCAGCTTCAATTTTCTAGAGTGTACTCACTATTGCACTGAACCTAATGATTTTTGAAATGCTTATAGCTTTTCAGAAACAGAATTTGTATCTATTCAGATGACAAATGCTGCTAATGAAGCTTGTCAGCCCTTTTAATGAAACATAACCTGGTCTCCTCAAGAAGCTTTCATCTATTGAAGGATCGTAAGTTGGCACATCTGAAAAACTTGAGTTGCAAACCTCCTACCAGTCCATCCGAAGCCTCCCTATAGGAAGCACATCTTCTGATCTAAAGGGAAGGTGCTGTAACATGAGCTGCTGCCCCAACATTGACTGGTGCAAGTACTACCAGATTACCTACTTTAAGATTGTTCGTATTCTAACTGGAAGCTAGGTTGTAAAAATTTGCTCAATTTCTTGGAAAATTCTCATCTACGCCTATGTTAAGGATGTCTCAATGCAGTATACACCAATCATTATGTTGTCTTCAGTTGTGTATATTCAATAATCTCATGATGCTGTACATTCTTTTGAAATTTTGATGAAGAGCTCCTTATTGTTAGATGTAAAAGTCAATGACTATTGCAACATAACACATTGTATAGTGTATGATCTTGCGCAATCTATTTTGAGTTTTGGAAAAGCTGATGTGGATGGTATTTGCAAGATTTGTTACCTTGGATTTAAATCATTTGCGAGTTATCTATTAATATTGATTTTGGAGACTAATGTTTTTGATGTAGCGTTCACTGGCAAGTTCTTGCGTGTTTTTATCCTGATTTAAGTAGGTATTAAGTTGTTGCTAACGAAAGTTAGCAAGTGAATACATTTGATCTATCAATTACTACAATCAATACTTTGTCGAGATCTGTTGGCAAGTTTTACAAGTTTCCTTTTGAGAGTCCCATGTGCTCTAATCTCCATGTGAGAACTTCTAGATCAGTTCAGGGATTTGATAATCGCAAGGCATTTTGATTTTTCCACAATTTCAAATGCGATGTGCTGCCCAAATGGGGCATTTTTCTTGTCTTCAAACATTAAGAATCTTTCATGCGAATCAAGACAAATGTCCTCAGATTGAAGAATTGGTATAGTTAAAGAACCTTTATGGTAGGCTGATTTTCTACTATCTTGAAAAAGTCAATGAAAAAGAAGCTGCTCAGCGAGTAGATTTGTTTATAGAGCCAAATTTGTACAAGTTGGAATTCAAGTGGTGTTAAGAATGACAAGAATGTATTAAAAGGTGTCTCGCCTCGACCAAATTTAAAAGATATCTTCATTAGTTGTCAGCATGGAAGCTCAACATTAGCAACTCTCCAAATACATGAGATCAACATTTTGTTTAGTTATTACAGTTAACAATAAGGATGAAGACACAACAAAATGAGAGATATCTAATGTCAAGAAATGAACACACCATTCCTATCAAAATGCAGCTGCAAAACAGCGTAGCTTTATCTTTTTGACCCAGTAAAAATAGAAAAGGGAAAATAAATTATGGAGCACTAACTTCGCTAACGAAAATTAGTTCTTAAAATGTTACACTTCCTCTCCTTCGTTCTCTATGTCTCTTTTAACTTCCCTCTCTATCTTCCTATATTATTGATATTCTTTGATGCTAAAGGAATTTTTCAATGATTAATCTCGATTCTCACTCATAATTATTAAAGTCTAAGCTACATTCTCTCTTTACAAAAGAATATAGGAAAATCAATTTGTCACTTGATATGTCTTATACCATAAAATTGTATGTGCAAGGAATAAACACTTGAAATTTCTTATAGGAGGTATCATATTGGACAAGCTTGCGGCCATTAGCAGGAGCTAATATTTGGAAGGTTTGAACTACTTTTTGGGATTGACCATAGAACTAGTTTGCTGTTGCCTACTAGTTGTTCGATAAAATGATTGTGAAATTGATTTTGATCTTTTTTATTGAACTTGAAATTGTAGATTGTTTGGTTCCTTTTTATTAGCTTGTTTCGTCAAAAACTAATTTTCATTCAATCCTTGATCAAATATTTAGAGAACAAATAAATATGGTGATGTTTCACAACATGATGACATAGGTAAATTTGTGGCTAGAAGGAATGTTTAACAAATTATTTCAGTGAATTTACATATTTTTGTTTGCTTTGATAAATCCAAGGTGTTAATGCATTCTTGTTGGAAGGAAGGATGTTATATTATTATCATATCCTACTTCTTAGCTGTCTTTTTTTTTTTTTTTTGTTCTTTTCTAGCTATTAAAGCATTAGAGTTTCTTATATTAAAACATCTCAAATGGTGGTCTTACAGTAGTCATCTTCAGAATTGACACTATGTCCAAATTGATGCAATCAAAAAGAGAAATTTATGGAATTATATTGAAGTCCATAGTCATATGAGTTCACAATCCTGAAGATTTCAATCAAAACTAAAAATCAATATGCCTATATGAAGGTTTAGTTTGCTTTTGTGAGTTTCACTCTCATATATACTTCTCACATTTAAAACATCTAAATGAGACTTGAAATGATTTTTCTCGAGTTTGGAAGTTATCATCATTGACATTTAGTTTCAATCATGCTTATTATGTTAGACAATTGATTACTGTATTTTAATTACTTATTTTTACATAGGTGCACTACTTAATATCGTGAAAGTTACTGGCAATAGAGGAAAATGAACTACCTATTGAGAGTTACTGTGGGCAACTTAAAAATGATTCTCACTTGTTAAATATGATCCTGGAATGTGTACTTGCCTTTGTTGGGAATATGAAGTCATGAGTCACAATCCTATCAACAATCTGGGTAGTTTTGTTTTTTGGACAAATTTGAAGCATCAATAATCTATAGTTGAGTCAATTAATGAGTTTGACAGGTGTTAATGTTTAATATGGAGCAATTGAAATTTTAAATTAAAACATGTGGAGGATGCTTTAATATCTGTATCTGTATCAAAGGTATCGATTGCGTTCATGCTAATATTGCAGGTGGAAAATCATGCTCCTATCAACAGAATCAGTTCAGCAACTTTGAAATTATGTTTAACATGATGAATTAGGACAAGACTAACTTAATTTTGTGTATTGCAATATGAGTTAATTCTTTTGGAAAATTTGCCAATTTAGTCCCTAAATTTTTCATTAAAACTAATTTCATCCTTAATAATTTTTTTGACCAATTTAGTCCTTGAATTGTGTTTTTCGTTCCAATGAAGGCCTTTCATGGCTGAACCGCCACATTTTTTATCTCTTTGCAACCACAAGTTAGGGGTATTTTGGCCAATAAAAAATTAAAACTATAATATAAAAAGGTAAAAACTTGTGTATGTCTATGGGCCTGCTCGTAGACCGGGACATAAAAAACTAGCCATATCATCATTAATTAATTCAATACTCATAAAATTCTTCCTCTTTCTCTTCCAGCATTTTCCCCCAAAACTCCGTCTGGTGTTTTTTTTTGTCAACTATGTCTAACCCTTTTGTCAAAATTCCAAATGCCGAAAATCTTTTATATTCTTTTAATTTATGTTGTTCTTTTTTTCTTTTTTTTTTAAGAGGGATGAGGGAGATTGTAGTTTTTTATTTTTAGTTTCTTTCTAATTTGTTGCCAATTGATGTCAATGGACTAAAAATCTTCAAGAATGATGATGAACTCCTGACCTACGTCAGAGAAAATGGAGACTTGATCTAGAGTGCTCACCATTATGTGCCGTAAATCATCCTCATAAGATGGATGAAGACAACAGAGACAGGTCAAAGCTAAAGCCTTTTAAGAATAGTTCACAAGGAACCAAGAGACAACTCGCAAATTTTTTTAATCAAATCTGTCTCCCCTTTACAAAGGATAGTAAACGGCTTTATATAGCCAAATAGACCTACTAACCAAACCCATATTGGAGTTGGATCTATTTAACTCATCAAATACGAATTGGACTTGAGTTTATTTAACCTAACTATAACTTTTTTCCCAAATCTAACAAACTTGGCCGATTTATTGAAAATACATAATAATGAATGAATGCAACTAATAATTGGCCAACTAAAATGGATAAAAAATTAAAAGGAAATGTGAAAAATACTAGAAAGTAATCCGATGAAATCTGGCACTGGACATAGCACCGGAGTTGACACCGGAAGCCCTGTGGAAGTGATCCATGGGGCAAGATCCGCAGGGTGGTGGTCAAAGATCGGGTCATGGGTCCGGTCTGGCCTTCTTCTGGAACACTTCCTAGCCTGAACACGCAAGCAGACTGCACCTTGAATGAATTCCTCAACCTTGCACCTTCTGAACGCCCCTTTACACCTTTTGAACACCTTTCAAACCACTTAAATGGACACATAAATCTCTGCATTTGCAAGGTCATTTCCTTTCACCTTGTTAAGCAAACGAATCATTACTTGAAATATTACATGTAAGGGGAATCAACCCTTTCTAAGCCCATAGTGGACCTTCAATCCTCCCAACCAAATAGCTGGTAAGTTTTTGTTAGAGAGACAAATTTGCGCAGGACATATATTACAGCTCTATTCTCTAAGTTTTGTTTCAGTGAAATCAATCTATTGGAATTTTTTTTTAAAAAAAATAAAGCAAGGGCATTATATTCTCTTTAAATGAAAAAATGTGATGGGAGTATGAAAAACAAAAGTGGAGTACCATTAACATTCCCCATATACATAAATACATATAAACATGCATATATATATATACATACATATACATATCTCTCTCTCCCTTTATATATAAATATATATATAGTTATATAGACACACACACACACATATACACATATACACGAGCAATTTACCCAAGTGATGTCAAAGAAAACGAGGAAGCAGCTCTCAAAAAAAGGTAAAACAATGCAAACACGTCAAGATGTTAAACCAAATTTCCATGCTCACTCACAATCCCACAAATGTGGGGCACCCTCATGTGGATGATTTCGTTCGATTGATCTGTTATGTGTTTTAATCATTTTTTTTTCATATGTTTGATCCATAACTGTCTTTCTTTTTTACTTCAACAGAGGTCAGGTTTGGCCCCCCTCTAATTCGCTGTATTTTTTTCGATATAAATAAATTAGGGGATGGCATCCCTACCCCAATTTGGGGCTTTGCCCAAAAAAAATAAAAATAAAAATATATATACACACTAGTAATATCTTATGTGCTTAACATATGATTATATCATTTTGAAATATAATACTTTTAAGTACGATGATTATTTGTGAATTTTGATTTTCAACATCGTGTATAATATTCATATATTTTTAATTTTCATTGATAAATTGGTTTTAATTGCGTTAGATAAATTTGAATTCTTAGATCTAACATTATTGAAACTTATTTTTTATCCTTCTAGGTAATTGATTACTTCAACTCTCAAACATAAATATTTATATTAAATCGTCCTGTATAGCCATATTATCATCATACTTCAATCATAATATTATAATGTTTTTATACAAAATAATGTTGTCAGATGAGAAAAATTAATGTACTCATTAGACATGGGAGCAAGAAATAACATTTATAAATACTATAAAGTCAAAGCTTAACTATAACATCAATTTTGAGAGAAGAAATAGAGGAAATGAATAAGTTTATTTTAATAGCTCAATTGGTTTGATCTGTGTGTTCACCTCAGTCTCACTTAATTATCAGTCGAAGTCCAAATG